AAAAAAAAAAAAAAAAAAAAAAAAAAAACTACCAAAAGACACTGTACTCCTGGAACTCAGTTCTCACCAAAAGAAACATGCTAAAAAAATGATGAAGGGTGTTGCTTACCAAAATATTAAGCGACTACAAATATCTACCTGATAAAAATCAATTGGCACATAACAGGCATGGGAATCTGGGATTTATATTTAGAAATAATAACAAAAGAAAGTCTTATAATACTAGAGAGACCATTTTATATCCAACTTTGACCCAGATGAAAAAACAGGAAAAGGACCAGGGTAAAATCTTGGATGAATATAAGCCAATGGAAGAGATAATAAAAGAAACTAAGCATAAATATTTTATATTTTCACATACCAACTGCTTTAGACAAGCCAACTGAACAAGCCGATCCATTGCAAACTGTTCGCGAGACCTACAAGATGATTAAAAAAAAAAAACATCCCACAGTAAATAATCATGTTGCTATGATGTATGGGTCAAAGATAGAAGGCAAGTTAAAGATTGAGGCAAGGGTCTAAGTAACTGAAAACCCACCGTTCTTCTGTTTTCCTGCCCTCCTCAATTGCTTTGATTATTTTGTTTCCATGAACTTTTGTCTTAACAACCTATGCAGCATAAGTTCAAACATTAGCAACAAATATAAAGCTTAGAAATGTCAAAGGAGATTGCACAGCCAAATCTTACGAAACCTAAATTGAAAAACATAAAAGAGTTTGCAGAGAGCATTGCAACCTGTTGGTTAAGTTTCTTCTCTAATTCAAGAATTTCTTGATTCATATTATCTTCTTCCCCATCTGCTAGGTCAGGCTAAGAAAGATACCATTGAAGAGTAGAAGAAATAAGGCAACTACACAGAAAAGTATATATAGAATGTACAAACTAAATCCTGAAATATATACCACTGTCTCTGGGAATAGTCCAATACTCTGGAGCTCCAGCATGAGTTTATCCTCCACAGACATCTGCCCATACGGGCAATTAAAGACAGAAACATTAGGCTCTTTCAAATGCATGCCTGGTGATCCATCAAGACCATTTTCATGAAGCTCAGGGAAGTATCCGTTGTTTAATGGTTGATATCCATGATCAGCATGATGCATGTCATCATTGAAGGACTGGCTGTCACGCCTTGTGAAGGTAGTGCCCCCATTGCAAGTAAATCTACGACCAGCAATTTGCTGAGTTTTAGGATCCGACTCAGATTCAAATGTAATTCCAATGGAGTTTCCAGTCTCAACATTGACGGAAGGATGCATAACCCCAGGAAAGCCATCTTCCCCGTAATGTGAAAACATATTTGTCCCTCTACTTTCTTGGTACTCCTCCGTTTCATCTTCAACTATTAAAGCTGATAACACTCTTTGGTACAGTGGAGTAACGATTTTCCTCTTTTCTGATTCTAATTTTCCACTTAAAGTAACAAAGTCCTCAGCTTCATCAACCTGATCAACATTTTTAAGCATATTTTGTGATTCATGTGAAAACTGGCTTTTTCGTCCAGAATCAAATGCTTGAGGTGATGAATCCTCCTCTGCCACAAAAGTACCCTGAGAAAATACCCCTTCGTCATTATTACGTGTGAAGAAAAGAAAACAATTATATAGATGGAATCTTTTTTTCATTCCTATTTCACTCCACATTTAGAATATTTTCCCCAAAAAGTACTGAAATATACACAATAATTGTAGAAAAGAACTACTTTGATAGGCTAGGTTTGCTTAAACAAGCACCAGCACCTCAGAGAGTTTGAAGACTCAATACATCTATCTATAAAACGCTGCAATTTAATATCCATGATTTTTTTCCTTTCAAGGAAGAGAAAGAAAGAAAGAACGAATACAGAAGGGCCAAACAGGGCACATAAACTCAGGCCAACAATATAAGAAAAACCTACAAAAGACACCCTAAAAGGAACCCAGACGAAGCTAACTTAACAAGAAAGAAGTTTTTTCTCTGAAGCTGTCAGGAGCTAACTTACAGGCCCCAAGCAGATACCATCCAGTCATAATAGGCAATCCTTCAGAAATTCGTGGATGCACAGACTCCTTTGTGCAGCCTGTTTTTTTTTTTTTTTTTGTATGCCCTTAATTATTCTTTCATATTTCCCAATGAAAGTTCGGTTTCTTATTTTTTTTAAAAGAATTTGTGAATGCATCAAAGAACTAAAGTTATTTGCATGTCCTACTATATTTCCCAAAGTTCAAATTTCTCAATTTTCTTTATAAACCCTATATCTTCATCCAAATTTTCTGACAATTTGGCAAAACCTTCAGTGTTGAATCATATATATATGTATGCTGCTAGAAAAATAAGAATCCAGACACATACCGGAATAGTGTTCTCATGGTCCAATATTTCAGAAAAGCTCTCATCATTCTTGTCTAGAGATATCTGCAGATCAAGATAAATGATAATTTAAGAATATCTTTTAGAGCCACTGAGAACTATTGATGTCTAGAAATATCTTTCAGCAGTATAATAGAATATTATAGTTCTTACCTGCTGCTTCAAAAAGGATTCATCCTCTTGGCTGACGGGAGCAAATAAAAATTCCATTTTCCACCAGAATGAACTAGAACAGCAAACATCTGTGATAGCGAAAATATATAGGAATAATATGACCATGATTCAGGTTTAAAAACTAAGCAACTGCACATGCATACATGCATACACACACACACACACACTAAACATTCTTTCCAAGAAATTCAAAATTTGAAGAGGGACACGTACAGCTTGGATTACAAGCATAATTTGCAGCTTCTAAGAGTTCTTCACGGTCATCATCTGATTCACCTATAAACCAAGCATAAGAATACTAATGCACAAGTAACATTTAGAAAGTGGAAAAATTCAGATATACATCCATTTTACATCTCAACGGAGCCCAGAAACTCAACAAGAAATAATTTCCTTTCAAGAATTTTCAATTCTCACTTCTAAAGCACATCATGTTTTACATCGTCATACCACACATGGGTTAATCTATATCTTCCCTTTAATAAAAGAGGAGTATAATGATATCATTATAAAAGCATACATGTAAACCTCAAACAAAACATATTGTAGCAATAGCATTCAACAAATGATGCACTGGAAGAAAGTTCTTATATAGGCTCATGCTCCCCATCGTCACATTGCACAGGTAGGTTAAACTAAAATTGTACTTTCAAGAAAGATTAGTAGAGAATGATATCATTATAGTAATTATTATTTCAACTCAACACATTCTTTTCAAAGGGAAACAAAAGTCCACTCCATACTTAAGCATACATCCAAACCTAAACAAAAACAATTTTGTAGAAGTAACTAAATTGTTACTCTGGAAGAATGTTTTCATACAGCTATTATTTCGAAGTTCTAGTCCTACAACCACCATTATGCTTTCTCCCTGCTCAAAAATATGTTTCTTTTTTCTTGCAAAAAGAATGTTGTGTCATGTAAAAAGTTTTTAACTGTTAATATGATAGCTGAAAACAGGTGAATTGGAGTATGACATGACACATTAAACACTAAAAGTTGAAACTTTCAATCACTCACTGGCTTTAAAGTTGTAATGGTAAGAACTTTATTGTAAGAACTATTACTAAACATGAGAAACGCCTCATTAAACGCCATATGAATCGAAAATAACATACCTGTACAATCAGGGGAACCAACAGCTGATGTTTGTGAAACTCGAGTGAAGGCCTTACGATCAGATAACTTTTTAAGTGGGGGACGCCCTGACTTACTGAATGTATTATATATCAATAAGATAAAGATTATCAACAAAAAATAATGAAAGTGAGAAAATAAATGTTGACAGATCTGTCACCTTCCGTTTTTCTCAGAACCAGGCCTTGCACCTTTAAGTGGCTTAGTCAAAGTTGGAGTCTCCAGTTTCTCCCTCGATGGTGAAACTGAAACCCTTGAAAATGATGAACCTCTACCGCTTCTTCCTTGTCTTCTAGCACTGTCCCGAATTTCTTCTTTGCCATGTACTTTGTTCTTCATTGAATGAAATATGTTAGGAGCATTATTCTGAGCAGCAGAAACCAACATTCTTTCATCTAGTTCCCCACTCACTGATCCTTTCTCTTTCAACTGACCGTCATGATTTTCACCAGCACCAGATTCTTCACTCTCAGATAACCTGGCAGGAGATGACACAACTTCCTGTTTCACTCTGACCTGTTGACTACCAATAGACAAGTTCCTTGCAAGAAATGAGCCACTTGTCACAGGTGAAGCCATTCTACCACCAAAATCTGAAGGAGAACCTTCAGACCCCTGCACATCGTCATGATTTGAAACAGGTGATAATAGATTAGATCTTCTAGTACGGGACATTTTCTGTGGCCTTTGGACAACCCATTGAGCCATGGGAGGAGAAGATGATCCACTGGGCATGGGACGCTTGCGATTATTAGCCCCATTTACTGATTGAAATTTATTTGTGATTGGAGGTTGTTCCCAGCTATCAAGTGCTCCAGACATGCGCGAAATATTAGGAGACGAACTTCCAGCTGTAGTAGAGCCAGACCTGGGTGCCCTTGAACCCTTTCCTTTTGCCAGCAAATAAGGGCCAGCTACATGATTATCTTCACGAACATTTAATCTGGTGATAATTTCACATTAATTAAAAATATCGTCTAAAACCTTACTAACTATATATGCTAGTAAACATAAACTACTCAAAATATGGCAGTAGATCAAAAGTCCAAAGTTCAATTGCAGCAAACCACAAATACTTAATACAAACCAGTACATCTACATCATCCCAAGGAATGGTTGAATACATTAATTTCGCTGGGAATCGTGTGTGGAGAAACAAGAGCATATCATTTGAGAGATTATGTTCAGAAACAGAACCTTTCTAATAGTTGTGAAAGTTACGGAGAGAGCACCAAAAGGAAGTACTGTAGTAAGCAGTCACCCACACCTCATAAACCTCACTCGCTAAAAAAATTTGTATGAAATTTTGTCCTTTCTATCCAGGTCAAACTTCCCAACGAAGGCTTTCAATACCCTATGTCCATAACACCATCCCTTTTTGTTTGAAATTTTCGACAAGCAATAAAGTGAAGAGTTGGTCATGAGATTAACTTGTGTGTGTTTTTTTAATATAATAATGCTTCTAATCATAAAATGAAAGTAGCAGACATACTAGTGTAGTAGATTAAAAGGAATGACATACTTATTATTTCCTTTAACTTGTAATCGGTCCTTTGCTTGTCCACCAGTTGGATCCCTATAAAGAGTAGGCTTTTTTTCAGGCTCGGCCTTGGGAATAATACGCACACTTGAACCAGTAGGCAAAGAACTTCCATCGCCCTTGCTCATGCCACTTATACCACTAGAAGAACCTGATCTGCAATGAACATCATATTTCAATGTTCATTCATCTTATAGCATTCATAAACAACTAATGACAAATGAAATAACTCATCTCCAATAAGTATCCTCTCCAGTTTCCCGTAAATTGAATATGTCAGGTAAAGAAAAGGAAAAAAAAATGCAATAAATAGAATATCCATGAAATTAGAAATATGTTACGCTTTTATAGACATGAAAACAGAATTTAAAATATACGGATTACATAAACAAATGTGTGTATGTTACGTGAATATGACTGCACAGTAAAACAAAATTAAAATTCTTCAAACCTACTTCAACTATTTCATAGTGCATGCCACATAATTAACTACTCTAGTTCAAAAAAATAAAATCTGGTGAGGGAAGGGGTGTTAGAACAATTTCATTAATATCAAACACGACAAAAAGGGGATGGACGATAAGCTATCCACTCAAATCTGCTCGAGAATTTTAGCAAAGGCTGAGAATATATGCTTATCATGGTACATGGTTCTAAAAAATAAGTCACTAAAGCATGAGTGACCCAAATTCAGATTGAAAAAGAATTTTTATGACAATAATTTTCATTGAGAACAAACTAAAGACTACGTGACGCCAATGGATTGAAAAAAAAAAAATCAGCAATACAACAAGTTAGGATTCAGCCACATACCAACATCTTTTTAATGGAGTTTTTATTGGGAGGTTCACAAAAGGTTGAGACTTATTTTTTAAAAATTCAATTTTAGACTCATCTCCCAAACAATCTCAAAAGGACAATTCCACTGGTAAATATTTATTATGGGAAACAATGCACATCATATATTCGACAAAAAAAGGGACACAGCCTGGCCTCACGGATGATGGGTCCTAAGCATAATTTGAAGGATATTAAAGAAAGGGTATCCAATCCAAATTAATAAGAAAAGAAAGTATTGTGTATTACAAAAATAATATGTAAAGAACTCCAAGTAGAGATTGAAAATTGTACATTTTCACAACCCAGAAATACTTTTTGAGGAAAACTAATCTGAGAACAAAATAATAAAGCAATTTCTTTTGGAAATAAAGATAACAAAAAAAAAAAGTCAAGATTAGCATACAACCATGTCAGTTATAGAACATTACTAACAATATGTTGCTGTGTGGGGAGGTTCATGCAAGGTATTTAAAAAAAGTCACCTTTTAGATTCATCTCCCTAACAATCTTAAAAGGCCAATTCCAGTGATAAAGCAATTGGTGTTTGAAAAAAAAAAAGGTATAAATGTCAAGATTGGCATACAACCTTGCTAGTTATAGAGCATCACTAACAATATACTAGCTAGATTTCTCATCTTTGAATAGCACAAGATTCATCGATATAACAAAAAAGTAGAGTAAAGAAATGCATAATAGTGATGAAATAAATCACCTGACACTCTGGGACTCGGATGATTGCCCTCCTGGCTCATTATTAAGCTTATGAAGCATGACGCGTTTTAGCTCTCCTTCACCATCCAACGGTCTGTTTAACACAGTACCCACAGTGCGCTTCCTTTTCATTCTTCTATCCCATGATTCACCAGTTGGAAGTTTGCGAATTTTTTCTTCAACTAGATCAGAAACTTCACCACCATCCCTAAGCAAATCTCTATCTCTCCCCAAGGGTGGAGGCTGCCTCATAACATTGTTAGTCCGGCCTTCAGCCTATTAAAAAGTTAAACAAATATAAAATTACTCGAGCAGTTCAAGTCTAAGAAATATCTAACTTTCATGCAGTGAAAGAAAAATAGGTACAAAGTGTGTAGAAATTGAAGAATGGTGCTCAAGAAAATCTGGACAGCAGTAAGAAATCTCAATAGATAGTGAAAGGACCTTCTTAAAACCTTAAGAATGCAGTTAACAAAGATCTATCATTAGATGACCACTCATGAAGATGAATCGCTGGCTGAAAGGTCTCCTTCAGAACTTTGCAGCATGGACGTTATATATAATTAATCATCAAATTTTCTAACTTCTCAGAATTGCTACTGTTTCCTGTTTCCATCACTACATTTTCAACCTTTCACTTCCTTATCCCTTTCTGATTAAAAAAAAAAACTTTACTTTTCACTTATAAGTTATATCAAGTGATCCTTAAATTGGTGGTTAAATCTACGTGCTCATGTCTACCAAAAAGTAACTATATATATCAGGTGACTATATGTCCAACCCTACTAGAAAGCCTATAAAAGAAAATTAGAGATCCATCAAATAATTAACTTCAATTTGCAAAGATAAAGAAAAATGGGAAAGTTGTAGGAGTTCATACTTTTCTTTACATTTGTGAGTATCTAGGCTGGCTTGTACCTGTCTCAACTTTTCTCATAAAACAATTGTTTAATCCTATTACATTTGGTTGCCAAGGAAACTAGTAGGATGTTAAAGCTTAGGTGGGTGGCAACTGGCAATCACGGCTTAAACTCATCCCCTCTAAGCCCAACCCTTTATTATTTAAATTGACAATTAAGTATTCTTTCATGCTTCATGGTTGAAGGTCATGGTCATAAAAGAAGTCTAATAACATGTTATACTCCAAACAAGCTCCAAAGTTGCACAAAAAAATGTCCTCACGTGCGCCCATTTCCAAATTACAAAAAGACCCTTTATGATAGAAAACCTCAAGGAACTCACAATCCATATTTGTTTCAAAGACTCCAAATCAGATGGCTTAGCTTCAAGTACCACTCTTTTCAAATAAAAAATGTCCTTCATATCTAGAGACCATAAAAGGGCAACACAAAGAATTCTACTCCAAAAGAACCTGAAATTGCAACAACTCTCTTAAAAAAACCTATTGCTTCACTCTTTCTCACAACTACCAAAAATTAGCAATCAAAGCATAATTCATTTAATCTTTGCTCTTCTCCACTAAATTACTGCTTTGATCACTAGCAATGCACTATAGCTAACCTCTTCTCAAAAAGAAATAACAAATGAATTTAAACTATGCAGCAAACTTCCATAGGAAAACAAAATAAGTTGAATTAATCAAATAAGTGAAAGACTAAATAAATAGTACTTTCTTCCTAAAAGATACGTGCCCAAAAAGGACAGCCCAAACAAATATAGATAATTAAAATTCAAAAAAAAAAATTCAAAAAGAAACCAAATTTAGATATGTACATCAATAACTTTCATTCTATGAAAAGATAACAGTATAAACAACGGACATAAATATTGAAAACTACAATAAGAGTAAATGATTGATAAAATTTAAATGGACCCTTAATTCAGCAACTGAAGTCCGAACACGCTTGCTAAGAACATTGTTTTTTGCCCTGTCTTCAAGTCTCTGATTCACAACATCTGGAGAATTTCGGTGAACCTGACTTCCCTTCTTCAACAAGCTAGGCCCAGCAGGCCTTTCATTAGTTAAGATCTCATTCCGAATTTGCTTCTTCTGAACCTGGGACTCACAATACTTGTTCAATTTGTGCAAAGATTCATCCATCCTTCTTGCTCTACCCCTGAAAATATACGATCATCTGAATTAGTATTCCAATGAGAACTTTTAGGAGGAAGATGAAGTGGAGTTTGTGAATCTATTGGGGACAATAAATGGCTTCATACTCTCCTCTCTTTCTAGTCTTTTTTGCACTTACAATCTTGTGCTCATGCAAATTGCCACCAATTGGGCCTCTATATCTTGTTACCACAAGTGGGTATATACCTCATTTCCTCTTTTGAATGGGTTCCTTCTTCAATAAAAGATAAAGTTTCCCATAAAAAGTTCATGTCTCTAAGTTTGCTGATTATAGAATCAGGATTCTTAAGAACTTGGGAGAAATGTATAGTAAATCTCTCTCAACAGTTCTCAACTCTTGTATTTATCCTTAACAAGGATTTGACTAAAGGCATTTAGAAGAACAAAATCTAGTTAATATCCCATGAATCTTTTTTTGAGATTGAATACTAATGACAAAGTTCAATGGAAGTTTTCTACAATTAACTTATTCCTAGAGCAGTGTTATATGTATTATTTGAGATACATTTGATGAAACCCAAAGCCTGCGTTTCACTCATCGAGTTTATGCCAGTTTATGCTACTAAGCCACAACATTTTATTAGATTATTCCTTATTTGGAGCCAGCCATCTACCATCTATTAGAAGATCCTGTGGGAAAATGGCCTCACGGTTGGAGTTGAGAGTTGAGGAAGGACAAAACTAGAAGTATAATTATTTTTAATAAAAATAATTATGATACTTGTAAAGTTTGAATAGTTTTTTAGTTAGCAAGTTTTGTAACTACTCTTAGTCATTGGGTTACCTCTCCAAAAAAAGTGATTTAATTATATTGCTCTTTTATCATTTATATCACTCAAGTTCCTTATCATAAACTCCCCCATTGTTTGAAAGACCTTTCCCATTTTTCCTGCAATTATTTACCTCCTATTAACATAAATTTTACTATTTCTATTCAAGAAAATAAGCAACACTCTAACCAAGAAAAGGGATAAATATTTATGTAATCAAACAGTTTGTTGTGAGCCAACTTGCCTAATAGTTACTTTGGTGACCACCCTAATTTAAGTATGAAAAATGCACTAATAGAATTTGTAACTATCAGGATATGAGTGTTTCAAACACAAGGATTGCAGCATTGCAAAATCACATAAAAGGAGAAGGAAAACATATACGCATGTCTTGTGAATGCGAAAATTCAAACCAATTAAAAAAAAATTAAGTACCTGGCCTTATTAGTTGCTTCCAGGACACAAGCTCTGAACCGCTTTAGCTCCTCCACAGCCAGAGGAAGCTTCAAACGACCAGGTCCAAATGAACTGTCTTCTACGTTCGTCCCAAATGACATCTCAAAAACCTTTTTCAACTCTTCTGGACGAGGATACTTGTGCTCTCCCAATTTTATAGGATCCAACAATAAAAACTGAGATAATGTAGGCAGATCCCCGGTGGAGGAAGCAATGCCTCGAGATGAACTAGAACCCAGACCAAACATCCGGCTCTCTCCACCATCGCGATAGTTTCCAGACCTATCTAAACTGCTACTTGTCTGGCTCATCCTCTGTCCATTGCCATAACTCCCCCCAAATCCTAACTCATCTTGAATAGCCGAGTTGGAAGACTCAAACCTCACATTTCCTGCCATCACTTTAAGCTAGTTGAGCAAAACCCCAAAGAAAACGGTTTCCCTACAATATGCAGGAGTCCAGAACCCAGCTCTGGAGCAGCAAACTGCTAGAATTATCTGCAGTAACCATCACATCAAATCAGTTCCAACCCCTGACTATCAAATAACATATTTTAAGTGCTAAAAGGTAAACGGGATGATGTTCCATTCACAATCCAAGCAGGGAGCAAACCAGAATTTTCATATAGCTAAAATATCAGAATAAATAAACGAAACACATATTTCCAGTACCTTTATACTACCCCCTCGATAACGATCAAGTTTCCCAACCAAATATTCAAACAAAAACTCAATTTCAGCAAAATCGCAAGTCTTGAACGAGTCAGATCAGAAACCTTCACAAAACCAAAAGTAAAGAACCAAGCAAACTCTAAACCCTAGTTCAAGAAAAACCTCTAGGGTTTGGTAGCGAATTACCCCTAATCGAACTCCTAATCCCCCGGAAAAACTCGAATTATTCCAAAACACAGAACTCCAGATGACAAACATTTACCTGCATTGACCGATCAAACCCACATCGAACTGTAACAATGATAATTCGCGATGGCAAATAGCACCGTTCAAACACCTTAAAGAATAAAACAAAATAAGAGAGAGAGAGAGAGAGAGAGAGAGGGTTACGATGAGGGAGAAAGCAGCCACCGTAGAGATACCGATTGAGGGAAAAGGAGAGAGAAAAAAAAAAAAAAAAAAAAAACATAAA